GTAGAAGGGATAATGTTCTTGTGCTGGAGACAAATTTTGTGATTGTCTATCATGAGGGGAGTGGGGATGGGACTCATGTTCCTATCTTCTGATTGGTGGAACATGAACTCATTGATGTCTTGCAGTGGACATGGACCCCACATTTTGGAGATCACTGATCTAGAAGAAGATCCCTCAAGCACACTGGGAGCAATTCTGAGGAGGAAATAATTAGGTTGTGCAGTGAAAAGAACACTGAGATCTTGGACCTGGAATCAGGAGAGATTTGACTTCAAAGCCTACCTCAGACACTTACTAGCTGGGTGACTGCCTCTTGGTAAGTCACTAAAAATCTGTCTGCCTTTCATTTTCTTCATCACTAAGATGGGGATAATAATAGGACCTACCTCCCATGGTTGTTGAAAGGATAAAATGATATAAAATTTGTAAAATGCTTTACAAACCTTAAATTGCTTTATAAATGTAGGTATTGTGATGATTATGATTATCTATGAGAAAACGAGTTGCGCAAGATGGGAATGGATGGATGGAGTCATGACCTGTACCGGTAAGAGGGAATACCTACATCAATGAAATCAAAGCTTTATTGAAGCAACTTAGTAAATTCTTAGGTTAGGTCCATTATTCCAACATGTTGAGAACTTTTAAAACCTTTATTTTGTGAGACAAGAGAGAATCTGCAAAGTTTTTGTTATTTGTAATTTAGTTTTGCAGATGATTTCAAACTGGATAGGATAGCAATTATATTGGATTACTGTCCTTCAGTTACTCATTCCCAATTATAGACATGGTTCTAAAGACTCTGCACTCTCCCTCACCCCAAATATCCAGTCAATTGCCAGATTTTGACCTTTCTACCTTCACAATGTCTCTCACATTTGACTTATTTTTCCTCATACAGCTTAGTTCATACTACCCTCATACCACCTTAATTCAGGCCCTCATCATCTCTTGCCTAAATTATTGCAACAGCCTCAAAATGGGTCTCCATTGCAAGTCTGCTCCTACTCTAGTCCATCCTACATGCCTCGGCTAAAAAAATTTCCCTTAAGTCCAAATATGACCCTATTAAACCAACAGCTTCTCTTACTGCTTCAAGATTACAGGGATTTTTAAACTGTGCTCTGTGAATTTGGTTTAAAAAATTCTACAAGCATATTTCAATAAAATTGGTTTCCTTTGTGACCCTATTTTATTTTATGCATTTTAAATATTATTCTATGTTTCCATAGGCTTCACCAGACTGCCAAAGGGATCAGTGACAAAAGGGTTAAGAACTTTTGCTCTAGAATAAAACAAACTTCTCTGTTAGCTTTTAAAGCACTACATAATCTGCCCCCAACCAACCTTTTCAGGCTCATTGGATATTACTCTTCCTCCTGCACTTTGTAGTCTCACCAAACTGGCTTTCTCTCAGCTCCCCTCAACCTCGTAGTCTCTCTCCTTTTAAGATGTGGCTTAGAGACCACTTTCTACATGAAGCCTTTCTTGATCCCCCCCCAACTGCTAGTGTGCTTCCTCCCAAAGTAGATATACTTATATGTGTGTTTATTACCTTTATATTTATGCTATATGGAAGTTTATATGTACTGGTCTTCCCCATTAGAATGTAAGCATGTTGCTAGGTATGGATTGTTTCATTCTTTGCATCTGTTTTCTCAGCAGCCCCTATTCAGTGCTTGGCACAGGAATTCAACAATCCAACAAAAGATTATTAAGTATAAGGTGAGAGGACTGTGTTAGGTGTAGAATCAGCCCCAGAAGTCTTGGGTTCCAGTCCTGCCTTTGACATGATGAGAAAGTCATTTAACCACTCAATACTCCAGGTATCTCTGAAACTCTAAGCTGTATAGCTGGTGCCTGGCACACAATAGGCATTTAATAAATGTTTATTGAATTGAATTTATCTACACTGGCAGAGGGAGTTTACTAATGTGGAGTTTCCTACACCAATGAAATCATTGGTTCAGTTACCATTTACTTCCCCTCCTGAGAAGGAGAAGAAGGAGAAGAAGGAGAAGAAGGAGAAGAAGGAGAAGAAGAAGAAGAAGAAGAAGAAGAAGAAGAAGAAGAAGAAGAAGAAGAAGAAGAAGAAGAAGAAGAAGAAGAAGAAGAGGAGGAGGAGGAGGAGGAGGAGGAGGAGGAGAACAAGGAGGAGAAGAAGAAGAGGAGAAAGAGGGAGGAGGAGGAGAAGAAGGAGGTGTAGGAAAAGGAGGAGGTTTCAAGGTACTGCAGATACAAACATGAAATATAACAGTTCCTGCCTTTAAGGAGCTTACATTCCAATATTGGAGACATGACATGTATACACACAATATAATTGCAAGATAGGATGTGATAGGGCAAAGGAGAGAGTGTAGCCAGAAATTTAAGGAGGGAGTTTTGGGAAGCATGAGATCATAGATCTAGCTGGAAGGGGACCATTGGGATCATCTATTCTAGTCCAACCCTCTCATTTTACATATGAGGAAATAGAGGCCCAGGGAAGTTAAATGATTTGCCAAGATCACACAGCTAGTAAGTGAGAAAGCCAGGTTTCAAACTCAGATCCTCTGAGCTTAATTTAGCACTCTTCCTATGAGCTTCAGGAAGAGAAGGATTTCTCATAGGCAAAGAGGAGCAGACAGTGCATTTTAGGAATGATGGAGGGAGTGTGGGATGAGAGTGGGGACAATATCAATGCCAAAAGTTGTAAGTTCAGATAACTTCACATCTCATCTACTCTTCAAAGTCATCACTTACTGTCATGACCCTCTTTGTGAAATGACAGACTCAGGTAATGATTAAAATGTCGTGATTCCTCCGTGCCTTGGATGTGAATTTGAGTTTTAATCAGGAGAAAACACTTGGGCCCCAGGGAATAAACCAGAAGAGACCTCTTGGCTATATCATAGAAACAGCTGTTGTCCACCATCAGATAGGATTTGCCTTAAAGGGGTGGGCCCCTGGCAGGTGGTGTCATAACATTTCAGAATAACTGGGGTCCTCAAGGAAGACTATTAGTTCTTCTTAAATCAGTAGCACATTTTATCTGTCTTGCTCAGGTTATAACAGGATGCTTTAGATGAAGGGAAGAGAGGGGCAGAGACCTAAGGAGTTGGGGTGGGGGGATGGTGAAAGAGGGCAAATCTGCTGTTATAAAGAAACCAGCCTAGGAGTAGATGAATACAAAGACCCCAAATTCATTGCACAAATTGAAGCCAAGAATCTTGGACTTGTGCCAGCTCTATTTATGTTACCCTTCACTTACACAGTCCTACACACAATAGCAACTTAGGAGAGATGCCATCTGTGTTTCGCCCAGTTTTATTCTTTTGGTTTGTTTGTTTTGGACTAGACCTTCTATTTCATGGCATAGAGACTCCCGGTGGGGAAACTCCTTCTACCATTACAGACTGACACTTGAAATTCATAGTCTTCAGAGCTGCCTGGGAGCACTGATCACAGGATCAGAGCTGGATTGGACTTTAGAGTCTAATTTCTTCCTTTTATAGAAAGAGAAACTAAGATATAAACAAAGTGACTTGCCCAAGGTCATACAGTTAGTAAGGGTCTATGGTAAAATTTGAACTTATGCCTTCATGACTCCAAGCCTAAAGCCCTATCTACTACACACTTTCTCTGAGTCAAATAGGCAGTATAGATCAGAGATAGGACTTGAATCCAGTTCTTCCTAACTGAGTCCTACCCTGTATTCTCCTTGGCATTCTGCCTCTTCATTTGCCTAATAATAGAGGGAGAAAATAAAAATAAATAAATATAGCTATGCACACACATACACAATTCCATATCATATTTATATCTATCAATAATATGGCCTGACTCTATCTATCTATTGTCAAGCCAGATTGTTGATACATATATACACACATATATTCACATACATAGGCATATACATGTGCACGTATACATTCACATACACACATGTATATATATTTATACACACATATATCTGTACATATATATGTTTATATTTATATTAATCAGAAGCATCCAAATACTTGCCAATGGAAGTCTTGGTAAATGCATTGCTGCTCCAATGATCAGGCTTGACTTAGGACCCTCCAGGTGATCCAGGAATTATCTTTTGCATGGACATCTTGAAGAAATTTGCAATGACTATATAAGGCATATGTGCAAACTGACCTCTGTGAAGTTGTTCCAGGTAAAAGTCTGCTTTATTTGTGCAATTCTGTTACAATGGAATCCGGTAATATTGCCATTGGCATAGCATGCCATCCCCATGCTTATTCTGATTTTTCATAACTTTGGCTGTTTGAGGCTTGTTCATTTGAATTGGTCCAACACTAACTAGAACAACAATTAGCTGTTTGTTGTGTCCTTCATTGTTTGGGGATCTGGGAATTTAAGACCCATCCCTTGGGACAGAATCAAACATTCCATCTTTGTTTGGACAATCTTTGCCTTTATATTTTCTTGAGAGTATGCATGAAAGGGTGATGGCTCAAGTTAGAAGGAAGTGTCAAATTATGGTTGGTAAAGACACATGCTCAAGCTCCACCTGGACTTAGACTCCACTGAGACAGGTCTTGTCTATGCCTTTAGAGTAGAGATCTCTACCAAACTGGACCAGTTAGTCCTCTGGAAGCAGACCTAGTTTCTTTATGATTTTGCTAATTCAAGGTAATTTCCTTATTTCAAGACTAAGCATGTAGATTTGTTGTAAAAAGAAGAGAAGACACTGATTTTCACATTAGCAAAATGAGAATTCTGTGTCGGAGAAGGTCTGATTGTGGAGTTAGGAAGAACTGGGTTCAACTCCTGCTTCTGGCATCTACTAGCTAAGTGACCCTGAGCAAGTCATTTAAACTCTTCATTTCCCTAGGCAATCCTGTAAACACTAAGTTGTAGATAAGTAGCTGAGCTGTGTAAGGGAAGGGAATTTCCACACAAGGAGGTCTTGACATTGATGAAACCACAGGGGGATGATACATCCCCCAACAAAAAATGACAGTACCAGTTAGTAACATATAGTTACTCAATTTAATTTCTATTTTAAATAACTTTATTTTTAACTTTAACAAGCTCTTATTAGAAATGCTTTGGTATCAATTCAATAAAAATATGCTAGAATTTTCCCACTTAAAGCATGTCATTTAACTGCAACAAGTGAACATTTGTTTTTCCCACATATCTGTATATTTTTCATGAATAATGGTTACCATGAATGCATGGCATCATATGCATGTATTGTATCTATCTATGTACATAACATGTATATTTTTTGTACACACATTATGCCATTTGGGGATGGAATTTAGGAGAGGAATAAAAGCAAAACCATCCAGAAGAGAATGGGAAGACTGTCTTCAATTTCTTCTTTCAGAGATGTTTAGTTACACAAGTGAGCAGCTGTCAGATCACCTTTTTTCCCAGTTTTGCCATTCTCATCCTTAGTGCTGTGAATTAGAGAGAGAGAGAAAAAATATACATATATGTTAACTCATGACAAACTTCCTGATTTTAATTCCAAATATCTTTTGGGTTGGAAAAAATGAAAAGCAAGCCACGTACCTCCAATGGTTTGGTCCAACACCGTAAGCATTGATTTATGCACGAAAAGATAGTAGAAATAAGCGGTGGTTAACTTAGAACAGAAGTATGTTCAGAAACAGAAGGAGCCTATTATTATAATGATTAGAAAAATGAGTGCCAGATTTGCACAGCAAATATCCAATTAGTGCAGTGAAGAAAATATTAAATGTAGTTAGGTACATAGAGGTTAGTAGCTGTGCACATTTCTGAGTTATTTTCTATGGAAGATATCTAAGCAGGTGCTGTATGAGAACTAGGTTTGAAAGGCTTTTTTCCCATTTGGATCCATATAAATACTCTGATCCTGATATATCAAAATTTATTTCAGAGAATCATAGAAGCTCACAGTTGCAAGGAGATTACTGAAGATCTCATTTAATTTGGCAAACGTTTATTTTGTGTCTACTTTATGCAAAGCACTATGTTAGGCATTGGAGATACAATTCATGCTCTCCATGAGTCTATAGGCTCATATGGAAGATAAGAATCTCTGTCACTTACTACCTTTGAGACCTTAGGCAAATCAGTCAACCTCTCTGGGCCTCAGTTTCCTCAACTGTGAAATGGCTTGGACTAGATGACTCCTAAGGTCCACATCTGGCTACCCATCTATGAACATTTGCATTTTCACATTTAATTCAACCCCTACCTGAAGTATGAATTCCCTGTATGATATCTCTGATAAAAGTCACTCAGCCTCTGCTTAAATACCTCTAGTGACAGAGAACTTTTGGCCTCTGGAATCAATCCCTTCTCCTTTTGGACAACTAATTGTTAGGCTGTTCTTTGTTGTGCTGAACCAAAGCTCCCTTCCTATGCCTTCCAGGCAGCGCTCAGAGTTCTCTCTTCTGAGGCTCCCCGCACAAGTTGAATCTCTCTTCCACATGATAGACATATTTAAATCAGACTATCATGGTCATTTGTGATCATTTAGGATTTGAACATGTAATTAGAGGCCTTTAAATTGGCCTAAATATATCACTTTTTTTTTTGGGTTAGGCAATGGGGTTAAGTGACTTGCCCAGGGTCACACAGCTAGTGAGTGTTATGTGTCTGTGGCTGGATTTGAACTCAGGTCCTCTTGAATCCAGGGCTGGTGTTCTATCCACTGTGCCACCTAGCTGCCTGTATATCACATCTTCTGATTACAAATCATTGGTATACTCTTAGGAATATGTAGAATGCAAGTTTTTGGAGGGCAGGGGCTGTTTTTTTGTGTGTGTGTTTGTTTTTATTATTATTTTTTGTCTTTGTGACCCCAGCACCAAGTCTTCCATAAAGTGGGCATTTGTTGGATCAATGATGTGCTGCAAAGAATTCAGAACATATTTTCACACCTACAGATTTAATCTTTGGATAATTCCAATGATGTTCTAGTACTCTGCTGTTAATATGTAGAACCTTCTGTACAGCAGCGGCCACAGACATGGGCAGATAAATGATTACCTCTGTGTCTGACTGATGCACTCACTTGCTACTTGTTCTGGATGTAGTTTTAGTATAAGGAATCCTAGGATGGCAAGCTCTCTGATTGCTCAGCTAGACATGAATTTAAATGTAAATTAAATGTAAATTAATTTAAATGTAAACTCCTTTACATAAAAGGAATTAAAGGTACCACAGAATATCACAACTACAACTACCATTTTTTTTCACTCTAGGCAAGTGGCACTAGAGATGCAGGGGCCTAGAACATAGCCATTGTGGGGAGAAAATTCATGTTGGGAACACTAATTTCTACTCTTATAAAAGTGTATCCAATAAGGGGAGGAAACACACCTAATTGATAGGGCTAGAGTTGGGCAGGGGAGAAAGCTTTCTTAAGAAGGTGCTATGGATGCCTCCTACATTTCCCACCCTGTGACACAGCTCTGGCTGCTTCACCTTGCTCTGCAGAAAATAGTTTTTAAGATTTGAGAAGGAAACCTGATCCTTTGGTAATCTAAGATCTGCACTGAAACTATAATCACACTTATCAAGAAATCACATTTATAGAGAATGTTTTATTTTTAAAGACTTTCAAACTACTTTTTCCTTCTTGGATGTTAAAGAAAATTAGACTTAAATTGTTTTTTTTTTCTAAGTATAGGAACAGTAATAAATCTCTGGATTTGGTCTACTTGAAGCCTAGATGGAAGACTATCCTTTTACCCTTGGCCAGGGATTAAACTACAGAATTAGTAAACAATGCCAAAGCAGGAGACAGAGTTTGGACTGCAAAGAAGATTTGTATTTTCAGTTTTTCTCTAATTTTTTTATTCCTATCATCTCACACTATAATTTGTGCTCTCTATGTTGGAGAGGAGGGAAAATATTTTTTTCCATGCTGTGGGCAGTGTAGAGAGATGTTTATTCAAGTTTAAAAATGGCACGTTAGGCCTGAGGGCTAAAGTCACAAGTATCCTATTTCATGGGTTATCATGTTTTAAAGAGCTCTTGAATACAACTGTCTAGTTCTTCAAAAAAAAAAAAGATGTGATGACTAAATGCCTATGATTTTTTTCTTTCCATTTTGCAGGCTCATATACACAATAGAGGAAGGGTAGATTCTTCGGATTAGAGAACACTAAGGGGCAGGAAGATCTCTACAAGTTGCAACTACGTCTAAGGCTCTCTTTTTCCTCTTCTTGGACTCAAAGACATTGGTCTGGATGACCCAGACTTAGTTGTTTAGCTTTCCAGTGGCAATTTTCAACACTACCGTCACCTTTTTGTGGCTGCTTTAAGTGCCATTAAGAGAGCCCACAGGTTTCACATGGTAGGCCTAGGGATTAGGTAGAGGAGACAAAGAGGAACAAAGGAAATGGTGTGAGCATGGGGTGGAGAGGAGAGACAGAGAAAGAGATGGAGAGGCAGAGAGAAACAGAGAGAGACAGAGGTAGAGAAGTCAGGGAAGGGAGTAGAAGGGAAGAACTAGATAGTGGGGTTGTTGGGAGGGGGCTAAAGGGGAGAGGTTCCTGGTTGTGTATGCGCTTGACTAAAAGACCTTTGTGGTTCCTTCCCATATTGAAATTCTGTAAAATAGAGCATTAGCAGTGCCGTTTGATAGTCCAATAAGTATCTATATTTAGCACTAAGGTGTCTTTAGGTCCGTGTCAAAATCACTGTCTAAAATCGTGATTGGTATGCTTGATGCTCTTTCACAGATCTGCGAAGTTGGCATATTTTAGCTTCAGTGTATCCAATTTCCCTTTGCTAAGTAAGCCCTTTTCCCAACGCATCCCTCTCCCCAGTGTCATCTGAGGTTCTCATGCTCTCTTAGTCTTCCATCCTCTGAAAACCAGATATCAGGAAATAATCTACTACACACACTCACCATAATGTGCAAATTACTGATAATGTTTTAAATATTACCTCTCACAGGATAATTTCCACTTTGTCTGGACTCTTAAGGAATCCAGTCAAAGGAATGCAGTTGAATGCAATGGTAGAAACCACCTGAAAAGATTGGAGTAGCAATTTTTTTTTTAAACTGAGGGGAGGGAAGAAATGAGGGAGCTTCCTGATGCCTTTGAAATCAACTCTCATAGGTAGCTACTGGCTCTACCTGTGTGTAAGGCCGAGCCTGCAGACTTAGATATCTATCTATCTATCTATCTATCTATCTATCTATCTATCTATCTATCTATCTATCTATAGATAGATAGATAGATAGATATTAGACCATTTTCTTTACTAAGGTTTTATCTTAGATCTGTAATTCATGGTCTAAATAAGAAAACAGAGATCTAAAACAATTTAATGGGAGAGGTAGTGAATTAGGAATATTTTATCTTACAAGTAACTTTCAATGATAATAGAGTCCTTTGAATTGTTACTTTGTCTGGAATAGGTTTTCCTGTTTTGATGATTTTAGCTCAGTGTTTTCTGAAAAAGTTAGTCACTTCCTGCCTTTATCCACTTTGTAAATGTGTTGACACACTTTAGAGCAGAAGAAATGAGGGTGTTGAAGGGAGTTGGTTAATTTCCAAGTTCAAGAAGGGGGAGGTTTTTGAGATAGGTAATACAGTCATTGTTGATCATAAATGGTCATTATGCTTTTCAAAGCCTCCTGAATTGTTTTCTTAACTGAAATTAGGCTGAAAGGTTTAAAGTTGAAACAAAGCTCATTGTTGGAACAGAAAGAAAAGCTGGTAGTGGCTCAGGTTTGCTTTTATGAAGTCCCATCTTTTCAGTTCTGATGTAAATCGGAATTTAAGGGCACTCTCTCCAAGAAGCCAAAAGTTTCTACAAAAAACCAAACTAGATCTGGAAATAGCATATTTAATTTAATTAGCTAAATGAATGGAATGGAGCTCAGTTGTTTGTCATGTTGAAGGCAGCCTTATGGACACTTAAATAGCTTAGGAAGACACTTTATGGAGAATACAAGTAGAATCATACCTTTGAAATGTTTTGGATTTGTTGGAACTTTAAAATCATTGCTTTTCAATAAAATCCTCTTTAATATAAGCTTTAGAAATTCTTTCACTTTCTATAATCCTCAGTGCCTTTGATTCTTATCTTTCAATAGTCAAAGTTAAGGAAGATTATGGAAAACTCCCAGTATGGGAACTCTTTCTACCAATACAGATTACAAATTGTTTGTGATTCAACCCATAATCCTCCCTCCTCAAACTCCCTGAAGTGACTTGTCTAGGGCCACCCACCTAATAAATGTCATAGGAGGTATTTGAACTTGTCTTCTTGACTCCAAGCCCAGCATTCAATACCCTATGCCATGGCTTCCTCTACAGTTAATATAATCATTCTAACTTATTATGATATGCCTCTTTGTGTTCTTTACAAATGTGAAGTGGAAATCAATACTCTGCCTCTGTCCTGGTGACTGAGATGCAATAAATCTAAAAAAAGATGAGTTGTCATTTTTATAGAAAAAATGTCAGAAGTGTTTTTCCCATTCATGTTCTGTTATAAAAATTGATAGCATGAGAAATGTATATATTTGTATAACAAATCTGTCTAAAAATAAATTTGCTGGACTGGAAAAGGGAATGCAGAATTAAAAGATATATACAAGCATTAGGAAAGCTGGTGTTTCTCCTATTTAAAAATACAGAAAAGAATAAGGAAACAGGCAATAAAGTTATTAAAATACAAAAAAAAAACCCAACCCACAGTGAAGGCAAGGTAGGAAAAGTACCAGGAAAATAAAGTCTGTTGCTTGGCTTTTCTTGAAAATTAAGGCCTATGTTAAATGATACACAAATAATATTGAAGTATTTGATACGTACAAAAAAAAATAATTCTATCAGTTACCCAATATAAAAAATAGCACATAAAATAGCATAACATGTTTGAAGGGGATTTTAAATAAGTAAGATAAAATAATGCAATATACAAATATGACTACAATGTTTGTCCATCCCCTCTTCCTGACCATCAAAGGCATTTTTTTGGGCTGGCCTTGCAAGATTACCCACCTTAAGTTTAGACATGCCAAATTTAACTTCATGTATAAGAAGAAACATGAGTTAATAACTTGGATATATAGTGACAACAATTCAGATGAACGATTATGAAAAAAAGTAATTCCATGTTAGTTTATCTGATAATCAAAGACGAGCTAAGCAAGAAGGCTTATTAATCAGAAAGAGAGCTTAAGGAAGCTGTTTATCACATGACTGAACAGCATTGGCATGCCTTGTCATTTTTATTACCTGTGAGAGAAGGATCCTCTGTCCCATCTCCAGCTCTCTGGCTATCTAGGTTAGAATGGTGGGTGGGGTAGTTTAAGCTTTCCTTTTGTTCATTTAAAGCTATGGGCTTTTTGTGAGGTGATTGATGGCTTGAGTTTTCATGAGGATTGACTTCTGATCTCTTCCTGGGGAGTGGTGTTGGCTTAGTAGGTTGGTAAACCTTACTGTAGTGACCCACAGGATGATAGGATGGTTTCTCAGCTTCTCCTTCCTCCTCTTCATCATCATCAATCACCACCAGTTCTGCATGGATGATTCCATCATACCCTGTTAGGAGCTTTTTTTCTTCTTCATCCTCCTCTTCTGCTTGCTGATATCCCATGAAAATCATGGTAACAGGTTTTGAGTCATCTACATTACAAGGCATGGAATGAACGATGTTGTACTTGATGTCTTCCTCTTCTTCCTGCACAGTTGGTGAAGAACGCTGGTGTACTGACTTCCTAATGGATGGCTCTTGGGGGCTCTCTCTTGCCTTGGAAGAGGGCACACATTCCTCTTGCGTCACACTTGTTTCTTCCCAAGATGGCATCGTCTTTGGTTGGGTACGAAGACTGTCCTCTGTCTGCTGAACCACTGATCTGGGGCGAGGTATTGGTCGCATGGTGCGGAGATGATTATCCTTCTGTAAGCCATTTCCCAAATTGTGTGAAGAACCATTTAAACTACTGCCTAGTCCATTAGCTTGAATGTGCATCCTTTCTTGAAGATTTGGTCCAGGGGTTACACCTTCTTTCTGTGGGGTTAAAGGTCTGCAGAACTGGTTGGCAAACACAGGCTCGTGATATTCAGTTGGAGATTTAGAGTTTCTCTCTGAGGCTTGTCTTAAAAGTTCCTCCACCTCAATGGGTCCTAGATCATCAGTGCCATTATGTGCAACATGGTGATTGGAGCTGACTGCATAGATTGATTTTCGGCCATCATCATAAACTTTTATGCCTGTACCTTTAAAGTTGTCAGATGGGAGAGGTATTGAAGATAGTACTGTGCTTTCTCCAGTCTTCATGTCCTTTTTCAACTTTAATTTCCATGGTATACAAAGCTATTGAGAGAGAGAGTTCATTTTTAATTTAACACTGTAATAACAAGCAGAATATGAAGAGGTGTTCTGACATCATGATCTCATAGTTTCACAAGCTAACCCTTTTTTTCCCAGCAGAAGGACTCTGGTGTTGGTTTGCTGTTGCCTTTCTACAGATTTTTAATCATAGTCTCCCTTCTCTGGACTGTTTCCCCCTAGGCAAGATTAGCCTGCAGGAGTGAACATAAACTTCTGCCTTCATTTTTCCCCTTGCTCTGTATATGTCTTGTTTGTACATGGTTGTTTTATATTGTCTGCCTATTACACTGTGGACTACTTGAGACCGGAGATTGTCTCTTACATTTCTTTGTATCACTATCTCTTAATACAGTGTGTATAACACAGAATAGGTGCTATCTCAAAGCTTGTTGAATGACTCACTCTACTCATGAAAATAGTGTATCCTTCTCTACATGAAGATTTACAACTATACAACTCTAACTATTGAGAAATATACAAAGGAGAATTTTGACAGAGTGTAAGTTTTTTTGGGGTCAGGAACCAATTCAGTATACTTTCCAGCACATAGTCAATGCTTAATAAATGCTTGACACATATATACATACATACATATTAATCTGACCTATGCTGAGTCCTTTATTATTGTCAGAGCTGAGGCTGATATTGCAGACATTCCTTAGGGTTGAGAAACACCAGATAACTGTCCCTGGTCTACCCGAATACTCCAAACCTCTTCATGCTCTAGGAGGTTCACCTTCCCAGAGGAATGGTTTGTTAGGCCCTAGATGGACTATGAGAAAACAATTCTTCAATTATACAAACTTTTTTTATACAAACTATTTACATTCATAAGGACTAGTGTTTAACCAAAAACAATATTACAAGTTCATGAGACATACAAAAAGACAAGTTCAGGGGAATTCTGGTTGTAGTCAGAGCACAGATTGGTACAGCAAATTTTGAAAATTTTGAAGCCTGAATTCTAAATCTGCCAATATGATGAGCTGCCGGAATACCTTTTCTATTTTGTTCATCTTCTTCTGTTCCTTCATCTCGTTCCTTCCTTAACCTAGATGGTATGTAGGATTTTGGAAGATCAGGGATATTGGCATAGATGTCTTCAATGGTCTCTGTGAAATTGAGAGAGAACCAATATGTTCAGAATATTTTAAATCAATGATAAAATTGTAAACGGGCTTGTAAAAACAATACCTTCATTTTCTAAGAACCAGACTACCTCAAGCTATACATACCTTCTGGTTTTTCTGTCTTTTCCACCTTCACAGACTACAAAGAAAAAATATTTTTATCATTATTACAGTTTTTGAAAATTAGTTCAAATATAGACTAAATTTTAGTAATATTGGATACTATTAGGAGGACTAAGTATGTGAAGGAATAATTTTTAAAATCCTCACTACATACCTTTATAATGTCTTCTGCAGTTCTCTCAACTGATTTTAGTTTCTTTAAAATTGTTTCTTCATGAGCTGAGACTTTCAATTCTGCTTTTTCAAGCTCTTCAATCTCTTTCTCAAGTCTGAGAACAAAAGTTTACAGAGTTGGTAAAGGCTGATACTATAGCATATTGGTTGCCAAATATCCACTAAGAATATTTTCATGTAAAGGAGAAGACTGAGCAATTTGCTTGGAATAGGGGACTATTCATTCACTAAGTACTTCCTTTTCTGGATGTCTCTTTGGGATGGGAAGATGATCTACAGTTCTCAAACACTCTCCCAAGAAAGGACAAGCTCTAATAACTCCCAACATGCTGGAAGACTTTGGGTATGAATATATCCTTGGTCTGGTGCTTTTTAACATTTTTACCAGTATTATTCTAAATTAGTGACTTGGTATAGACAGCCAACACACTAGATAATACAGTTAGGATGCAAGACAATCTTACTAGGTTAATACATGGGACTGAAGCTAATATGATAAAATTTAGTAAAGATAAAGGTAAAGTCTTACACATGGGTTAAAAAAATCAATACCACAACTAGAAGATAATGGAGATATGACTCAATGTGTGTGTGTGTGTGTGTGTGTGTGTGTGTGCATTTGGATCTCTTTTCTTTTGTCAGGGAATGTTCAAGCAACCATTTCTGGTTGCTAAAATTAAACAGCTTTGCCGTCATCAATAGAAATTTCCCCAATAGAAAGCAACCCAGCTATGACTTACTAGGTAAATCCTAGTGAGCTGTCTGAGGCACATCATTACTGACCATTTTTCAAGACTCTGATTCCATGTTTTCTCACCCTAACGGTATGATTTCCATGTTATACTTGAGTAAGTTTTTTGTACTTCATTGGGCCCCCACATTTAATTTATATATTTTTTACCTCATGCAAATTCCTGAAGGTTATTTATTATTTCCTTAGAATTCCCTCTGCCCCTTTTCAGTTATTTTCAGTTGTGCCCAACTCTTTGTGACCCCATTTGGGGTTTTCCTGGCAATGATACTGGAGTGGTTTGCCATTTCCATCTTCAGCTCATTTTACAGATGAGGAAACTGAGGCAACCAGGATTAAGTGACTTGCCCAAGGTGACACAGCTAGTAAGTGACTGAAGTCAGATTTGAACTTAGATCCTCCTGACTCCCTAGGCCAGTGCTCTGTCCACTGTGCCACCTAGCTGCACCTCCCTTGCCCCTAGGTAGGGTCACATTGTACTCATTGTTCAGTGGTAATGGGGAAGTGCTATAGTCTAGTATGATCTAATGGAAAGAACATGGTACTAGGAATTAGATCTAGTCTTGGATCTCAATAAGAGAGCCATTTCATCTCAGGTATGCCGCTTGACCTCTCTGAAACCTTGGTTTCCTTAGAAACAAAATGAGGATCTTCAGTCAATCAACAAACATTTATTAAGCACCTCTTGTGTTCCAGGCACTGTTCAAGGCACTGAGGATGCGAAGACAAAATAATGAAGTGGTCCCTACTCTCGTTCTAACAGGGGACATGGCACGTCTAAAAGCGTCTATTCAAGAACCTAGTAACAAAAGTACCTGATGAGGCATATGCTATAACCTCCTGAAGAGCCCTGATAATGAATGTTTTTAAGGGTCTCTCAGGTCCCCAGATGAAAGTTATATTGTATAGTAGGCCGTAGACATATGATACGGACTGAAACTATTCACAGTTATTTGGCCATAGGCAACTCTTACTTAAAGAGGGGGCAGTGTGGTAGAACTGAAAGAACACTAGACATGAAAGTCAGGAAGGACTGGGGTAAAATTCCACTTTAGACATTTTCTAGCTTTAAGACCTTGGCAAGTCACTTAGCTTCCTCATCTGTAAAATGGGGATACTAATATTTGTAGTACTTACAACATAACGATTATTGTGAGAATCGAATGAAATAATATTTTTAGAGTCCTTTGCCAACCTTAAAATACTACATAAATAACAGTTACTATTAATTTGGATTTGTTTGTTGTTGATTATTCAGAATCACAGGGTAACAACCATTAATTCATAGTATTTATTAAAATTTCCATTGAAATAATGAAATACTTAATTTCTACTTAAAATTATAGAGAAATGGATACTTACAAACACTATTTATAAATGGATGTGGCCCCACAGAAAATACCATCAATATGGACAGCAGGAATATGGAAATTGTAAATATTTCAAGGATCTGTGATTCCGTAGTGTAGGAAACTTTCAATGTGGGGACTCTGAATCCCATTATAGAGAGTGAGCCATCTATGACTTAGTAAGTAAAACCTAAGGGGCCGTCTGAAGCATAGACTGTATTGGTGACTTGAATAGTTTTACATGGTGTTAGAGAGAAATTTTAATCCAGGTCTTCCTAACTTCAAATCTAGCACTTTATCCATTATGTCACATTGCCTCTAGGACAGCAGAAATATGTCTGATAAATAAACAGTAGGGGTTCTGTTATTTTAAGGAGCTAACAAAGTTTGCTAGATCAGAATGGCATTTAAACTGATATGAGATTCAGGAATCTAAATTTGAAAGTGATGAACTGGGAAGCAGATGATTACTTTTGGTAATAACTAGCAAGAGAAAGGATTTTAGTGGGTTAAGAGGGAGGGAGTCTTAATAATCTTCTAACTAGATAACTGTACCCTAGAGTTTTGGAGATTTAATAACAGTTTACATTATATGGTACTTTAAGCTTTGCAAAGCACTTTCAAAGCATTATTTCATTTGATCCTCGGAACAACTTTTTGAGGTAGTTGGTATTATTAATCCCCATTTTAAAGATGAGGAAGCTGAGGCTTAGGAAGCTTAAATGACTTGTGCTTCCAGTAAGTGTCTGAGGCAGGATTCAAACCCAAGTCTTTCTGACTCCAAATTTAGGGCTCTCTTCGTGGCCATAATGCAGTGAATATTGCTGAATGATTTTGCCAAATGTTGAATAAATTGTCAAGTTACAGAGAGAGTGATTCAACTTTATAAAAAGCCTTTTGGCCCTTTTTAAAAGGAATTTCATTTAAATCACGGGTGGAGAATCTCTGGTCTTTGGAATGCTCAGGTTCTGGATTTAATTTCATTTAGCCTATGGGACAAATGCAAGATAGTTAATATCTCAATTTATGCCCATAGTGACAAAAAGGCAACATAGCTTTGAAACACAAGATGGGGGTATTGCTTCAAGAAAGTCATGCTATTTCCCTGTGTCTGTGGGTGCTTTGTTCTCTCTCTGACGGTATTCCTCTTAATATGTGTGGATCTCTGCAGCTCTATCTTTGTCAACGTGTCCATTTCAGTAAAAGAGTATTTTGGATTCTTTCTCTTTGTCTTCCACTTTATTTTCTTCCACTCTTTTACAACCTATCACTTTTTCTTGACTGGCTATAATTGAGAACTATAAGCACACTCCCATATTGTTGGTTGCATTTATTGAATACAGTTTTGTTCCTTGATCTTAATTTCAAGAAATGTTCCAAAATTAAGTTTTCATTTCTTTGATCTTATATGCGCATCCTTCCCCATGACCCACTTGGCTCTCAGTATATAAAAATGGTTTGCTATCCTTGATTTAAAGCTATGAATATCTAGAACTTAAACTGGTACCTCCTTGGTACCTTTTGTTGGGAGAGGGCTTTCAGTAACTAAGAGTGAACTATCAGGTTGAGGTGGGAGAAAAGAGGATACTTTCTCTTTTTTCCCATCTTATCCTGAAAGCTCATTAGAGATTCTTTTGAAAATCCCTCTCACCTTCATGCTGTATCTCTCTCACCCTGGTGGTTCAGCATTTCCATAAGTACTGCCATTTCCTTTTCTGGTAGGTATTGCCTTTCAGAAAAGGCATTGGACTCCTGGAAATGCTGATTCAGTATGAAAGAAACAGGCTTTGCAGCAAGACAAATACCCTTTCTGGAGCCTACTTGGCTGTGATGGAAGGCCTGATGGATACTAATGCCTTTTAGAGTTCCTGGTAGCTGGTGGGCAGGTACCTGAGTGCCAATTTAGATAAGCAGAGTACATGAAAGAGGAGTTGTAAATGCTCTCCATTATTGGAATCTTTCTTCTGCCTGCTTGTTTTATTGGGGAAGTGGTGGTGGTGGTGGTGGTGGCGGCGGTCGGGGAGGAGGGCTATTTTCTAGAGCTTGCTAAGTAAAAAACAGGGATCTTTCAGTTCTTCCAAAGTTCTTGCAATAACCCCCTTCATCACCAAGGGATAATGCCCTGAATTCAATCCCAACATCAATTTATTGTCTTACAAAAAGGATTGAACATAAACTTCAAGTGTTGTAAGTACTGGCTATTTTAGAAAGCAATTATTTTGGCTGCTGAGGATCCATCTGTCTCTTTCAGACTTTGGTAGTATTAAGAAGGAATTGTGGCCAGGTGGAGTTTGCTATTATCAGAACCCAGGAAGGGTCTTAATAAACCCCCAGCTCAATAGTTCTATATACCAGCTTCTACCCCAACTATTGCCTAATTGTTAAGAAAAAGCTACATGTGCTTTGGAAAGTACTAAACAGTTGTCAAGTATTTTGGTAGGGATAGACTTCATTTTCAATGGGGACAATTATGTGGCTTTATATAAGGAAACATTTCCTAATAAGTAGAACCATTAGAAAGTGGAATTGGCTGCTTCAAGCAGTAATGGGTTCCTTGACATGGGAAGTCTCCAAACAGAGACTGGATAACCATTTGTTAGAGATGTTGCAGAAGGGATTATTCATTAGTTATGTGTTGGATTGGTCACTAGATGGTGTCTGAAGTCCTTCTGCAAGGCAGTGTTCCATAGTGGGAAGAACACTGGATTTGGAGTTAGAAGATGGGTGTGAATCCTGGCTTTCCTGCTATTTTCCTTCTGTGACCTTGGGTGAGTTGCTTAAGCTTTCACAGCCTTAGGATCCTCATCTCATCTTTAAAATGAAGTTGTTAAATTTGATCGCCTTTAAGATCATCTCCAGCTCTACACTTTATAATCTCATCCTTTATAAACTCATCAGTTCTGTGCTCCTGTGATCTCCTTTGTGTGGGGAAACCAATTGGGGTTAAGCAACTTGCCCAGGGTTACCTAGCTAATAAGTGCCTGAGGCTGAATTT